CGCAGGGCCCCCAGAAATAATGATGCCTTTAATGTTTTCCTCCATCAATTCGTCTGAAGATACAGAAAGGGGTAGAATAACAGACTCCACATTGAGCTCCCGTATCTTGCGGTCAATAATCGTCGTATATTGCGAACCAGCGTCAAGAATAGCGATGCGCTCATTCAATGGTTGTCTGTCCGTATACATCATATTCGTTTTTAAGGATATATTTTTCTCTAAAAGAATAAAGTCTGAAACAAAAAGTAAATATGAATTATAACTATTGACGTATATTTATTTCTTTGAAATTATTATGTTGAATGTTTGGAGTGAAAAAATGCATGTTTCTGTATACGTTTTCGCTACAAAAGTAAGCAAATCAGTATTATGTGAAAGAATACGTATTAAATAGATGGTGCACCTCCTTTGCTTCTATGGTTAGAAAGGGGATAATATTATCAGTAAATTCATTTCCGCCGAAATGTTAATTAGTTCCATATACAGAATCCTTCTAGCAAGACATGATACCCATTTAATAAGATATTGTCAGTCAAGAAAGGCAGAAAGCTTGCAAAAATTTTCCACCAAACTCCATTCCTTCCATGTTTCCAGCTGCGGCCTTTGCATCATTTTCCTCTTCAAACGTCACTTCTACGGTACAGACCTCTTCATTTATTTCCCTGTCGTCTGTTCTATGTCTTTTTAAGGTGCCCTTACCGACCAACTTGTAACCGATAACTTCACCAAAAGATGCACAAAGACGCAGCAATGCGTCCTCGTCGTGTTTATTAGGTAGATTTCTAATTCTTACACTGTAAGACATTTTTTACTTTAGCACAATAAAAATGTATCTATTTATTTATATGCATAGAATAACGATGAAATAATAACGACTAAATATTTGGATACTTTCTTCTCTAAAAAAACATCGGTAATGCTTTGAACGTTGAGTGCAAATGAATTAGTTTAAGATACAGTAAGCATCAAAACATGACCTCCCTAGAAGTATAAAAAGGAAAGGATAAAATAAAATAAACCATTATTTCGGTAGAATAAAAGGTCATATTGGAAAAGTAAACAAAACAAAAGTATTACCGACGCGTCGTTCTCTTTATTATTTTTTGTTTTCTTGAAAATGATGCATCTAAATATAATAAGCTACTTACATAATAGAACGATTGGTCTTCAGGAAAGCGAGATGGAGCTTTCCTTCTTAGTACTTTCTCGAACTATTGTGTCTAATTTAAAAAAACGTACAGGTAACAGCAAAAAAAAAAACGAGCATCAACTCGGATCACAATGCATACTCCAACAATTATTCTGGCTTTTTATAAGGTACGTCATAAGGTCATCGAGGTTCTTGATCACACAGACAATAGTGCACGTAGCTCACGTAGCGTAGCCAAACTTTCGCTCGGGTTGAGTGCATCGGCCTCTTGAATCAAATTTGCCCAAGTATCCTTACCGCTTTCCGTCGCGGTGATTTCTTCTAGGAGCCATTTATGGGCCCTAGTGGCCTCATTCCAGGCGCGCAGGGCCTGTTCAAGCGCCCAAGACTTCGCCTCTACTTCCATTGCGGCCTCTGTCTCGGCAATTTTGCTCTTGAGTTGAGAAACCTTCTGTTCATGTGTGTCGCGCTCCTGTGGAAGGCTCTCCTCAACCCTTTGGAGGGTGGCAAGCAGATGTTCCTTAGACGCCGCACGGTTCGCTTGGAACTCTGAAAGCCGACTTTTGATGCCGGAATCCCGCTTTTCAGCCTCCTTTAACTGATCCAACACGGTATTTTTCCTTTTGGTGAGAACCTTAAGGTGTTCCTCATTGCGCCGTCGTCGCTCCTCTACTTTACGTCGGAGCTCGGTAGTTTCGTTCTCGATGGCCTGAAGCTCTGCCTTCTTGCTAGTTACATCCGCAAGAACCGCGTTGATGGTATTCCGAAGCTTTTCCTTCTCAAGGTACCATTCTTGTTTTGATTTAGAATGCTCGATATCGTAAATACGTAAGGAGTCTCGCGCTTCTTCGAGTTCTTTATTTTTGGTCTTTAGGTCTGAATTAAGCGCGCGCCAACGCTGAATAAGTTCTTTGACTTGGGCTGTTTCCATCTGATTTTTGTATCGATTTTAACCCTTTTTTATTGGTTCTATTTATGGATACGCTCTCTCGAAGAAAGAAGTTTTCCTTTTTTACACGTGTAACACGTACACCTAAAAAAACAACAACTAATGAAGTGAAACTTTCCAATGGAGTGAAAGTCGAAATTATTGCATAAATTCAAAAAAGGTATCAAATAAAATAGCTTAGAATTAACATGCACAGAATATGCAACAGATAATAATAATTTATTAATTAAAGTAAATAGCTATAGACATTTATTACATTATTTATAGTTTAAAATGGACACGCCTTCTTATTATCAGATTGGGAAATCAATTGATGCAACCCTTTAGCAGAGTATTACCTTTTAGAAGAAGAGGTCTTACTAAATGCTTGAATTAAATAAGGAAATAAATTAAAATGGATACCTATATAGACATAAATATTTATATGCGTATGATAACAATGCTATATAAAATATCTTCATTAGGTTCCAATTCCTGAGTCAATTCGCCCTTTGAAGACTTTTCAAAAGGAATAAATTAGTAACATATCGAGTACTTTATCTTTCATTATAGTATAAACTCCAGACAAATATTCAACACATATTTCCATTATGAGAGGTAGAAAAATCAAACCAGCTCCTGATAAGTTAATTTTGAGATTATGATTCCCTACGATATTTAACGCTGAGTTTCACGGTGAGAAAAGGTGGAATCTTTAAACAGATCCCAAAAATTTATTTCAGTAAAAGAAGCTCGTTTCAAATTGATGAGCATGGAAAACTAGGAAAAAAAAGGAGACGAAAAAAACAAAACAAAACAGAGACAGAAAAGAGGGGAAAAAAGGAACAATAGCGCTAGTAACGTTTATGGTTGCAGCAACGTTATGCTTGAAAAGAGAATAAATGACTTTTTTGAAAATGAGTTCAATAATGTGCCTAAGATTTCACATCTTTCAAGGTATATTTACATACATATAGACAATATTAACGGCAGTGCTACAATGTGTCGACTTAGTGATCGGCAATTTATCCCACTTATCTGGTCCTAGTCTCTTAGCAGATTTATTTGAAAAATATTTGCTTTTTTTGCTTTCCATTTTTACTCCTATAAGCCTCAAAGTTTTGTTTTCATAAATAGCCTATCATTCTTAGCATAGAAAATTGAACTTCACCTTTATGCTTCTTACATAAACAAACACTGTTCGTTTAGAACACTCAAATAAAGAAGAGAACAAAAAAAACTTCTATTCCAAATATAAAAAACATATAATTGATTATTGAAAGCATTGTACAGGGTCACGATATAATTCCTTTTCTCGTTCATATTGTATATACTAGTCGTATATGTTTTTTCCTCTCCTCTCTACTGATATCTAAAAAAATATCACACAATCTTTGATGTTGACGCACGGAAGAGAAGGGGCCTCTACAGCGCTTTAAAAATGCTACTGCAGGGATATTATATTGTTTTTTATCATGTTCTTTTCTTAAATATAAAAATAAATAAGTAAGGGGGGAAAAAAGTCTGCATATTTTTTCACATATAAGTTTAGAACTGCATGTTTCTCTGTCATATTTCACACATAATGTATAGATATATATACATATATATACAGATATATATGTATTAAGTTGGGCAATACACGGAACTTATTTTTCTCCATGTAGAACTCTGAAATGATATATAAAGGAAAAATAACACCATATATGTATAATCCTGAAGAATCCATATCTGTGCTCTCAGATCATAAAAGCATAAGAAAAAAGAAAGGATCGCTTCACAAGAAAAAAGGGGGGGTCTTATGCCTCGGTTTGTGTGAACAAAAACACGTGCTGTATTTATCAATCTCCTTGTTCGAGATTTAAATAATATTAATACTATATGTATATATGTATTTATTGATGTATATGTGAACATAATATACGCGTAGCAAAAAAAGAGAAATAGAACATATAAATTTTACAATAAAGAACATAAAAATACGCCATAAAAGTTCTTATAATGGATATTTGGTGCTTATGAGCAGTGCTATTCTAGCAATCTAACCATAAAGAATGAAATAGATATGCACCAAAGCATCAAATTCAGTAAAACGAACCCAAAGTAAAAGGTAAATAAATGACCACCTAAGGGGATTCCTCCTTAATCGCTTTGAGAAGCTAGTGTCACAGTAGAAAAGGAAATTAAAACTGCCACTCTCAGAAAAACGAGTAAATAGTGAAAAACTCTTAGGAATTACCAGAAATTAAAATTACAAGAAAAATTTACACACGTGCCACCTAAACTAATATGAATAGCGCATGGGGACCATGTACATTTGTTGTTGTTGCTGTGACGTCTGAATTGGACTCCTACCCGTTCCCACCTGTTGGGGCGGTACCGAGGCCATGGACTGGTTTGGTGGCATAATATAAGTCTCCCCGTTAGGGCTGGGTGTCATCATATACATGTTGTTCGAGACTTGTGGGGTGGGGGTGGATAGCATCGGGGGCTGAACCATCAAGGGCGTTTGTTGATTCGAAAACAACGAGGTCGAAGTGGTCTCAAGTGGGACCCACATCATCGACGGTGGAACGAAAACAAGGTTATTGACAGGCTGAGAAGCCACCGGTGGGGCCACTCGGGATCCCTTTGAAAGGCTGGAAGTACTCTGAGTAGAGCTGGATGGATGTGAAGACGACAATGTGTCCGTATTTTGAAAGCACTTGATTTGATTCACAGTCAAAGGTGCGACCTTCGGGTTAGCAAACTTCTTCGCCCTTGACTTCCTTTCACTAGAAACCGTCGAGCCCGCGTCGGCGTCCGAATTCGAGTTGTCGCCGTTTTCGACTCGCTCACGCGGGTTGTAGTGCAGCACATGTACAAACTGGCAGTCCTCGCCAAAGCAGCAGATACCGTTTTTAGAGTAATGTGCGCAGTGCTGCATGGTTACGGATGTTGTCTCCTTGTGAATACATTGCTCATAGTATTCCAGCGCGCCCTTGGTAATGAACAGCTCACCGCTGTCGTATGTATCAACAGGGGTTGGAGTGTTTGGCAAGGCTACCTTGAAAAGTACACCACTGCTAAACGTCCTATACATCTTCTTGGAGGTCCAACGAGAGTGCAAGGAGTGTTGTAGGATAGTGTCCGAAGGTAAGTAAATAACGCTATCCGAGTACCCATTTGCCTCTACTAGACTACCTGAAGCCGCCAAAGTGTCTAGGGGGGTGGTTTCCGGTTCATCCGGGGCCGTCACTGGTCCTGGAACCCCGCTCGCACCGTCGCTCGCCTGTGTGTTGGTGAGTGCCTTGTTGAGCTTTTTCTCAAAGATTTCCTTTCCCGAGACGACCTTGACAACGCTTGGGGCACCGGTTGCGTTACTTGGTACATTGTACAACGAAGCATCCTCTACCCTTTCAAGGGGGATGACACAATGCACTTCACGGCAAAGAGACCCATTTGGACATTCCTTATTTCGGTCATACTGAATGCATACAAAAAGCTTATTTCTGCTCTTGTTAGGGCCCAGCTGATTGTAATCCTGAAGGTAGTCTAGTACACCACGAGTTAGCTTGACATAGTTTAAGGCTACTGTGTATAAATAATGCATATCATGCCGAAAAAAACGGATGCAAAATCCTGCCGGGAGTGACACGTCGGCCAATTCCTCCTCGGAAAGCAATTCAAGTACATCAATTGCAGGAAGTTCAATGACTTCCCACTTCTTTGTGCGTGTTTTTTTAGAGCGCAAAGGAAACGACATTATCCTATATTTTTGTATAGGTGTTCTATCTCTGAGGCTTTAGGTCAATCCTTTTTATATTAAAGAATGATCTCTTTAAAATACTTAACTGCAAATAGGCAAACCGTAATTTTTGATTTATCGTAACTAGTGTTAATTTGTTTGTTTTTTTAAATACAGAAGTATAACAAGAGAAGATAGATAAATAAAACACAATACAAGAAAATTATCACTAGCATTTGATGCTGGCGTTGTTGTTTCTTGAAATTATAGCTGTTTTTTTCTACCCCAATTTATTCTCGTCCCTAACAATTAAACGGCTTCATTACACATGCTAAGAAGAATCTCAAATATTTCAGATTAAAAAAGCAATCAGATGACTAACAATATAAGTGAATCGTCTCAAGGAATGCTTATATTTTTTTATGAAAAAGATAAGCGACATATATATATATATATATATGATGTTGATAGTGTAGAATCTTAACATATCAAAAATCGTTAGATTGATGCGGCAAGAAGAATACTCGAGGGATACTTGCTGGAAAGGGAAAGCGGATTCACTGGAATGGATTCATATATACGTCCTTGTTACATTTATTGAACATAAGGAAGTAAATTATATTGCTTTCAAGCGCAATAAAAATGAAAAACATCAATATGAATTCTGAAGGAAAATAAACAGACTAAACAATGACCTAAACAATATAAACTAGATTTGCTTCAAATTCGAAACGATTTAAACGAACACCAATTTAAAAGATAGTAAATTTAAAAGAAATACATGATTTGTTCTATTTCCTTCTTCGAAATCCATGTACAAGAAATGATCTGAATGGAAATTTTCTTTAAAAGGGTACATACCCAAGGATATAAATCTCACTTTCCCCTTCCTCTCATCAGATATCAAATAATGCTAGTGATCCATATATTCACTTTTTTCACTGATAATGCGGTTCCCTTCATGCGTCTCGGTATATCACTCCTCTGGCGTAGCTAAATGCAATCGCTCAGGAATCTATATTGTTGCTTACACCTTCGATTGACCCTCCGGCATCTGCGTTAAGCTTGTCTTGGAGATCTGTGATGCGTTTCACCATGTCTTTTCGCTTCTGCTTCCACTGTCCTTCCAAGTCTTGCAAACCATCTACACGAAACAAAATGCGCATCAACTCCTCATAGTACCACTTCTTCTGCAAATTTGTAGTTGCACTTCCGACGTCCTTCTCGATTTTATTGACTTCCATCTCGATCTCCTCAAAGACAATGAGATCGACGTTGCTGTACTCGCCAGACGCCAGAAACACTGTGCAGTCCCCACGAATCCCAATATTAAAGAGGCTGCTCTCAGGTGACTGGGGTAGAACCTTCCCACGAAAGACCAACTTTCCAGTTGCTGCCTCAGGCACCTCGGCCACAATACTCAGCATGAGGTCCCCCACGGCAGCGTCGCTGCTGAGCTCCACATTCACCCCACGCCGCTGTGCTGGGATACTGCAGTGAATCATCAATCGGACCGGATATCGCGGCGTCGGCCGCCCTTCACTCGGGCCATTGACCCTATTATTCTCCACCCCGCAGGCCAACGTCGTCTCCGCGGCGCCCCCCGACACCGGGCTATCTTTCACTGTTGAGCGGGACGAGGTCTTCGTGGGGCTTACCCCGTGAGTCGAGCTGGCCCGGAGGGGGCTACACCTGTGGGGGGGTCTAGCCAGCTTTCCCGAACCCCGTGGCGCCTCACCATCCTCCCGTTTGGACCTCTCCGAGTGGTGGTTCCGCATTGACCCCCCAACCGGAACCTTTTTGAGGTCGCCCTCAGGGGAACCTCCAAGACAGGGGTCGGACTT